CCAGCCAATGCAACTGTAGGCTAACCTAATGATAGCCATGCTGGCAGGTGTGGTCTTTTGGGTAGGAATGAGCCCAGCACTGGCATAGGGAAGGCTGAACAGTGGTTAGACTGGAGAAGACCAGTTAGCTGGGTAGGTGGGTCTGCCAGGACATTTCCTTGGAAACTGGAAAATGTAAGAGCTATTATAAGGGCTCTGCTATAGCTAATGAGTTGGAAGGAATTAAAGAAAAATAATAAAAACAAGAAGAGAGAAGAAGGAGGTTCAGTTGGAAAAGGAGAAACTATCAGAGACATGGTAGAGATGTAAGTGGAAACCACACACACACACACACACACACACACACAACCAATCACCGTAATACTACAACAAAACTGTTTTATCTCTGGGTCATTTAAATGCATTCCCAAAGGCAAGAAATTGGCTTACACTTTTTTCAGTATAGGCATTTCTACAGTTAATTCATTGATAACAGATCTTTCAGGTCTAGTATACATCTTAAATCAGAATGATCTTCTTTCTGAGGCCCAGCTGTGGGTTCACGCTAAGGTCTTAGTGTCTGAATAATGTGAGATGTGCTAGGATCTGGGAGCAGCGTCACTTGGCAGCTGGGAGGAATGCCAGGAGACTGGTGTTGGGTACTTCATTTAAAAATTAGACCATTTCATTGTGACACTTAAATGATAGTTTTTAAATTTAGAAATTACATCATCAATTGTTCTTTTCTCTTTTAGGAACATAGTTTTTGAAGATTAACTCAACAATATGGCCAGAAAATGAAATTAAGAAGGATTTTTCATCATGGATCCACCTAAGCTATATTACAGCCACTGCATTCTTCTATAAATGAACCTTTGCTGTAAATAGCTGCATATAGTATAAATCATTATTTTGGTTAAAGTCAACCTACTAAAATACTGTTTGTCTTTCTTTCTTTTCTCTCTCTCTTTTTTTTAATTTGACCAGAGGGAGACACACACACACACACACAGAGAGAGAGAGAGAGAGAGAGAGAGAGAGAGAGAGAGAGAAAGGGAAAGTGAGAAAGCACATGTGGGAGTATCCAACACCTTAACCACTACTCCACCTGCTGGCCCTTCTTTTTTGTTTTTTAATGAGAGTAAGAAATTTGGACTCTGTTTGAGTTATAATATTGTACATAAAAGGGAGCGGAACAATTAGAGATAAGCTTTCCAAATGACCCAACCTTCTATTGACGGCCAAGTATTCTCACAGGTGAGGCCCCAGAAACTCCAGAAAAACTGGAAACACTCATTCAGAATAATCCTCTCTCCCTTTGCAATCTCAGCTGTTGCAGTGCTGTTCTGTCCCATTGTGGGCAGGGCTGAAGGACAGCTCTCCTTCTCTGTGGACAGAGGCCTGTCCTCCCAAACTGGCTACTCTCTTATTTTCTTTGATATGTGAGCTTGGCTTAGAATTTGTTTGTACACACAACAATAAACCTATTTATAGGTTTTTGTAGATTCTTTTTGTGAACTTGAGGAGGAAATTCTTGTTTACTTCTTCTTCTTTTTTTTTTTGAAATTTGTATCATGAGGGATATCCTCAGTCTCCTCAGCCTGTAACACTTGGTATATGTGGTCTGAATGCCCAAGATCCAATGGGCTAGAGGACTCGAGGAAGAGATTGTGGCATGATCAGACACTGAAAGATGCTCATTTCTCTCTTTCTCACTCTTATGTATACACACATGTGCTCAATCGTAAATTTAAAAAATAAATAAATAAAAAGGGCCAGGCAGTGGAATGGTGGTTAAGGTGCTAGACTCCCAGAGCAGAGTCCCTGACCGGGCAGCTTGAAAATCACTACTTTGGGCATGCGTGTGTGCATGCCCAAAATCCTGAGAGAAGAATGGAGGAGAAGGAATTGTGCCATGGCCATCCTCACAGTGGGGATTGGGGGGTTGGGAGATGTGATTTCTTACTTTCCCACTCTCTTCCTTTTTCCTCTCCAGCAAGCACATGCACTCTATGGAAAAAATAAACTAAAAACAAAACAATGAAATAACAATAAAATATTTTCCAAAAAGTTCGTGGAAAATGAATGTCTAACTTTTTTTGCACAAAAATGAACTTGTATTTTAATTACACCTTCCACAAACTTTTTGAAGTTCCTCGTATTTTTAAGGACTATTGGCCTGTTGCTTTTTATTCCTCCCTCTTTGGTACTGTCTTTAATTTTGGTATCTGGTTACTATGAACTCTATAAAAGTGAGTTGGGAAGTGTTTACTCCTATTTTTTAAGAGATTGTGTAGAATTAGAGTTAATTCTTTTACATGTGTAGTCAAATTTTCAGTGAAGCCATTTGGGCCTGGAATTTCTTTTTGAGGAGTTATTAAATTATGAATTCAACTTTCTTAATACTTATAAAGGTAACAAAATGATTTATTTCATATTTTATGAGTGTTACAGTTTGTCTTTTTAAGGAACAGATGAGATTCTTATAAGTTGTCAAATTTCTGTGTGTATTACTATTCATAGTATTTTGGGTATATACCTAGGAGTGGAATTCCTACATCAGCAGCATCATCTTGCACTCCCACCACAATATATGAGGGTTCCAATTTTTCTATATCCTTGCCAATACTTTTTAATTTCCATTTGAAAAAATTACAACCATCTTAGTGGATTTGAAGTGGTATTTTATCATGGGCTCATTATTTATTTAGTTATTTAGTTAGGTTTTGCTATAGGGTACACATGCTAGCCAGAGAGAGAAAAAGAAAGAGAGAAATCACCCTCTCACCAAGGGGGTAATGGCATATTGGAATTCCTTCTTTTCAATTCTCCTTTCAGGATTTTGGGCATGCTCATGCACCCAGTGTGTTTTTTTAAACCACCAGGTCCAGTACTCAGACTGTGAAGTTGGCCATGTGGTATCCAGCCACCTTAACTACCATGCCACTGGCTCCCCCATTATGGGCTCATTATTACTTTTACACCATAGGAGCAAATGTCAACCTAGTGAAAGAGGCAAAGGACATCTTAATATTTGAAAAGTTTTTAAAGAATTATTTATTAACATCATTTTTTTTTTCTTTTCAAGTGACCAGAGAGAGAACGGAAAAGTGAGAAAGTCAGCCAGGTCTGGGACTCAAACTGTGGTAATACTGTGTGGGAGTCCAGAACCTCAACTGCTATATGCCACCTGCTGGCCCCTGAATATATTTTTAACTTCCATAACTCCACAAAAGGGTCTCGAAGGTTGCCAGCGTTTGTGGACCACACTTTCAGAACTGCTGCCCAGCTTGAACTTTTTACAGGAAGTAATAGTAGACTTTTACTTACCCAGTGACGCTTAAGATTGTTTTCTTATGGCTGCTTGTTTTTCATAAGGGGCAAATGTAGGTTGGTTGTTAAGACCTTAGCTTTTGCATCAGATAGATCTGGGTTTGAATCCTGGCCCATAATGAGTACCGTGTAATTTTTTGGCAAGTTTCTTAACACTCAGTCAGAAGGACATTTGCACATCCTCGTTTGTTGTATCATTATTCACAATTGCTAAAACATGGAACCAAACTAAGAATCCAAAAACTGATGACCGGGTTGAAAAACTGTGGCACATATATACTATGGAATATTACGCAGCTATAAGAACAATGAGATCCTATCACTTGATTCAAAGAAAATGAATATAAAAAATATAATGTTTAATGAAGTAAGCCAGACTTTGAAAGAAATATACTATATATCTCCACTCAATTTGTACCAAGTGTCTGCACCCTATGGCAAAGATTGAGAGATCTGAAAATGTGATGGTGGAGAGAATAGATGTGGATGCTAGAGACTATAAGGGGAGGGGAGAGTGGGTGATGTAGAGTGGGTGGTTGAGGGTGGGAGTAAAATTAATAAAGTCTTCCTCCAAAAAATGTAATATACTTTATCTATACAGGGGCAATTTTGAAGGTGAAAAGGGTTCTGTCAAAAATGTCTATGGGAGCCAGTGGCAGAGTGGTAAAATGTAATACTTTACAAGGTGATCCCATGTGGGAAGGTTCTAGTTCAAGTCCAGAGACCTTCCTGAGAGTGCCAGCCACATGTGTGTGCCATAATCTGGGGCTGGCTGAAGCTGGGAGTAGATCATGATATTAAGACCCTTTTGAGGGAGCTGGCAGTATGGTGGTGGTTAAAGCGCTAGACTCTCACCTGGCTGACCATGGCTCAAGTCCTGGACCTGGTACTTTGAAAAAAAAAAAAAAAAGACCCTGTTGAGGGTTCTCCCTCTCTGTTTCTTGCTCATGGAAGAAGTGAATAAAACGACTGTGGGCAGTAGGTTTTGTCTGCCCCAGGGAAAGTGGAAATGCCACACCGTAACTGAAGGAAGTTGTAGCAAGTAATTTTAGCAACAAAAGGAAACCTTGCTCACATACTGGTGCTTAAGAGCATAGATTCTGGGGAGCAGTAGATAGCATAATTGCTTGTCGCTGGATTCCCATATAGTCAACTGCGGTTCAAGTTCTGGACCTGGTGGCTTAAACTTCACATGGGTGTGAGTGCCTGTGTGCACAAAATCTTGAGAGGAGAACGTAGGAGAGGGGATTGCAGTGCAGTCATCCCCTCTGGGGGGGTGGGGGATGATTTCTTGCTTTCTGTCTCTCTGGCAGGTGCACATGCCCTATAGCAAAAATCTCTAAAAAAAAAAAAAGCACAGACTCTGGGAACCAGCAGGTAATGATGGTTAAGATGCTGGACTCCCACATGGCCAACTGTAGTTCAAGACCTGTAGCTTGTTTTCTCTCGCTCGTTCTTCATCTTTCTGTTCAAACTGAATAATAATAATAATAATAAATGAAACAGAATAATTTTTTGAAAAAGAAAACGAGCACAGACTCTGGAACAAGGACATTGGATGGGTTACTTAATCTCTCTCTGAGTTAATTATCTCATCTCTATAATGAGTCATAAAAAGACTAATCTTCTAATGTAGCGAGATTAAATGACATAAATGAGGTGTTTAGAAGAGTGCCTGTCATACTACAAGAGCCGTGTACTTTGAGCTGCTGTTGTTAGGAGAAATACAAGTCCAAAGGGATGATATAAAAGGATGACGATGAGGAGGAAGAACCTCAGCTGAAACACTATTCTCACTGCATTGGGTCAGGGAGGATGAGGTAGATGAATTAAAAGCAGTTTTAAAAATTTTTTATTTTAAATATAGAGGTTTGATTAGTAAAAGCAGTTGTAAATGTGTCTTGACAATACAGGTTTATGATGGTTTTTAATAAAAATCCTGGTTAAGAAAATGCAGCTCTTTAAAGGCTGATCTCATTCTTTTCTTTTTTTCTTTTCTTTTCTTTTCTTTTAAATTTTACTGTATGGAAAATGTGCTCACGAGAGAGAGAGAGAGAGAGAGAGAGAGAGAGAGAAATGACCTCCCCCCTGCCCCCATGGGGGATGGCCATGCTGCAATCAGTCCCTTCTCCTTCATTATCCTTTCTGGATTTTGGGCACACACTCACATGCATCTGGTGTGATTTTCAAGCTGCCAGGTCTACGACTCAAACTGCCAAGTCAGCCACGTGGGATCCAGTTGCCTTAGCCACCACAGCACTGGCTGGCCCTCATTAGTGTTTTCTATGTAGAATTGTGACCATGTGTGTCACCATCCTATCAGTGTCCAGAGGCTGAGATGTGTTTTTTAAAATTTTGTATTCTTTATTCTAGGACTAAGAGTAAAAAGCCTCCAATTTCTTACATGTGAACATAACCACATTATTCATCAGTAGCACAGTCACACGCTGCTTAATGACAGGGGTACATTCTAAGAAATGCATTGTTATGTGATTTCCTTGTGCAAGCATCATAGAATGTATATACATGAAGCTAGATGGGATAGCCTACTACACACCTACGTGACATGGTAAAGCCTATTTTTAACTCATGGGACCACTGTCATATTTGTTCACTGAAATGTTATTAGCAGCATGTGATT